AATATCCTCTTAATGTCGATTTCCTCCATAATTGGATTCTTGTTGGTTAAATGTCTAAGTGTACTCTCAATGATTTCCCTATAATACTTTGTTACACAACAAAAGACGTTCGTCACATTTCGGCAGATTCCGTACCTACATCAGCCGAGGTTAGCCGAATGAACAAATGGCTTAAAAAGTTTACGGAAAGTGCCGACGGTTCCCGATTGTTAAAGTCATTGTTTAAAACAGATTTATACAGACACAAAGTAATAGAAATTGTTGAACGGTTTTTTTTAGTGTTTAATGTATAGTTTTGAATATTTGATTAAAAGAAATATAATGAAAAACAGGGATTTACATTTTGATTGCAGTGGTTTTGGTAAAACCAAGATTTATTCACAAGATATTACTAATTGTTACGATTAGATATACAGTTATTTGTTTTAAATCGGTCACTTCAGTGCATATATGTTTAATAAATGTGCCTGTATGATGATTTTGTATTAAATGACATGTTGCATTCCAAATCACTGATCAAACTGTGATGGAACTTCGCACTCAATTACACCGCTCGACTTAATTGTTCTTAGTTGTGACAGCTTAATAATACATAATACTTTATTGAAATTCGAATCTGGTAAATAACTCGACCATGTCCTGAGGTAAAATAACTATCGGCAGCAATTAAAATACTGATATTCGTTTAAAACAATCACAGACAAATGTTAATTAGAAATGCCGTCGGTAACCTGATAAAGCGAGATACTTCTGATTAAGCTGACTAATATAAGCAACACCAATTTATGCAAAGCTTTATCAGCTTAATTACAAAGTCAGTATCATCAATATCATTATTTTCGTATAAAGTTGTTATTGCCACCATTGATTTGGCTTCAGATGATCACTTTTAAAAGTAAACCAAACAAATTATCAAACTTAAAGAATATTGGAGTAAAAAATGAATTCAACATTTCTGTTCGTGTATAAGGAAGCTAGCTATGCGTTGCGTGTTGAACAGATATAGGGTAGACTAGCCGGTTTTTGATACACGTAAACGACACACTTAATGCACACGTGCGCTCATTATTATATCTGGTATCAATAGACCATTTGAGGTCCCAAATATAGTTAAATTCCAAATGTATTGTTCTACTGTCTATTAAGCTTGGTAAATATCCGTAAACCTCTTATATTTAATCTACATATGTATTCTAATTTGAGTCCACCAATTGTGAATTTAATTTTTTCAATCATGTTTGACGAGGAAAAAGTAAGTCACAAGTCATAAGTAAAATTACAATTAATTTATAGAATGATTTTTTTAAGGAACATTTATGGCTATCATATTTCGTGTATTGTTACCGATTCTCGTCAAAATAATTCCGAATATTTTACCCGATGACTGCACGAGTCATTCAAATTTCAGAAGAGTATCAATAAGGAATACCATATTTTAAAATCGACGAGGACATGGATTGTTTATTGTAGTATATTTATTTGTTTACAAATACTGGCTTACTAAAGGAAGATTTCTATGCATTGTAAGTATTGAGATTAGTGAGGATTCTGGAATGTCTAATTGCACGTGTCTGTATAGCAAAATATAAATATAACTGTTTATAAGATTAGGTTCTATTTGAATGAATATATATTCAATATTGTATATGTCAGCCTTTAAATTAGGGGTTATGGGGTGGGGTTTAGGGGGTGGGGGTTTAGTGGGTGGGGGAAAGTTCATGTTAGGGTTGAGGTATGCGGAGTCGGCAGGGGTTGATGACGTAGAAAGTGTATGAGTGTTCCTGTTACAAGTGAGGGACGGGTGGGAGATTTGCTGGGGTGGGTTATGGGTGAGAGAGAATGCGTGGGCACGTGAGTACTTTCCGGTTCTCGTTTTACGGAAAGTGCCGACGGTTTCCGATTGTGCACGTCTGTGATAATTAGCTGAGGGATGGAGTGGTAAGGGTTGGGACGAAGGATAAACATTAAATGGCATGTGTGTATGAGAAGTCCGTGGTTGTGGCTTCCGAAAAGAGCATTTCCATTGGCTGAGTGACGGATTGAAAGGGGACGAGAAGTGACGTGGATGGACGAGGTTTTGATTTGTGGGCTGGGAGATGACCAGGAATTGAGATGTTGCATTGTATGTATTGGTGTAGTTTATAAGGAACGAAGATAGATACATTTACTTTATCAATGTATGGACACAGATATAATTAGACGTAACACAATATCTCTCAGGCAGCTAATACTTGTAACAGTTTCTGTTTGATTTTTTTTTTAGTTTAATTATCGATGATGTGATAAAACTTTTAATGTACAACTATTGTGCTTACAAATGATAGATAACACTTTTTTTTTCCCCACAAGTTTTATTGATACAACAAAAACGTCCACTCATCATCATCAACATCATCATCATCATCATCATCATCATCTTCATCATCATCATCATCTTCATCTTCATCATCATCATCATCATCATCAATAATGATAGATAACATACTATATAATGGATATGATATCATATATTTAATTGAAATACAATTGTCTAGATAATCGCATTTAATAAAACTATTTAATCCGATCCCTGAGTATGTCGACATCCTATCTAACCGAACTTACAGCTTTCTATCGATTTAAAGCTATGCGGTATATTTTTGGGATCGCACAAGTTACAGGAAGTGCCGTGTGCACATGACGCGTGGAAGAAGTGCTCATTCTAATCTCGGTGCGTTGTGAAAACACACAACTATAATACCTCTGTATTCCGACATCCTGTCTCATTAGTTGCCACACAGTGTCGGATTAGACAGGTTATTCTGAACAGTATGTCATGTTCCACAGAAAGTCGGATTATACAGGTTATTCTGAAAAGTATGTCACGTCCCACAGAATGTCATATTAGACAGGTTATTCTGAACAGTATGTTGTTTCGACAAGGCTGTTTTATTAGACATGTGTCATTCTAAATATATTGTCTGAATTGTTCACCGTTTTATATTTCAATTCCTACTCAAGTTGGACTCAATGCAACTAGGCCTACCAAATGTAACCTGTTTCATTTGCCGATGAATTTGACCAGATTAACATTGCTTGTGCTTATGATTTTGCCAAGGGAGATAACTTTTGACATGTTTATTAAATCACTTGATGATATTTCACATTTTTATTGAAGCAACACAACTTCAAGAAATTGTTCAAACAACCAAAAACGATTAATTAGCAAAATATCACAAGCTCACGGTTGCTAGCGGTAGTGACAAGTCATGTACTGTCGTAGAAATTCCTCCAGCTACCCATTCTGCCTTGTGTAAAACAACGTAAATCCACAGGGGTTCGTTACAAATGTCTGAAATAAGGTGACAGAACCCAAATCGGATCACCAAACCATCATTTTATTAAATCATTGAAAAATCTGAGGAGGAATTATATTCATTTATGGTTGTATCAAAAATTGAATATCGATGGGTGTTCTCACAAACGAAATTTGCACCCGGGGCTCACTTGAGATATTCATAGAACGCCCTGAAGTCACCAATCAGCGTCTCCAATTTTTGCGAATGCCGGGACCCAAATCGGATCACGGCTTGAATTTTGCAGTATCGTACGCTTCAAATGAATAATTTTTTTTGTCAGCATATTAACATTTTATGATGGCCTTTATAATTTATATGACAAAAAGTATTTCTATAGTGTGAATTGCTTCCTATAGTCCAAAACAGAGTGCATAGTCGTGGCAAGCGCTATTTTTTAAAACGTATTAAATCAAAACATTGACATTTGAGTTTGAAATACGTTTTCCTGAGCTATTTGAACTTAAAAACTAATTATTTGTAGTCAAAAAATGGTGCATGGCTATCTATTCTAAGACAACATCATTGTTATAACTGATTTGTTGACACATTTATTTATTTATAAGTATTTTTGCAAAAAGTGATCCGATTTGGGTAACCAATCCGATTTGGGTACTGCCAGCTTGCACATCTAAATCATAGTGTATGCTATATTAACTGATATGGGTCACTGCACACATAAAGATACATATAAATGGATGTTTATGTGTGCTGTGACCATACGGTATCAGTATAGCATGTGTATTTCAGACATTTGTAACGAACCCCTGTGAAAGATCCAAGTGGTCCCGTCTTATACGAAATACAGTCGAACAGCCAAACGTCATATGCAATGTTTCGTCCTTTCAAGCCACGTCTGGTTTCCTGTCTCATTTGACATTTAGTTACTGCAGCTTATCATTCCAGAGGATGTAGAACCTCGAAATTTAGCGGCTCTCCACTTCGAGATAGTAAAAAGATGGCTGCCGTAGACTCGCAGCTGAGTCTGTGCACCGCGTCTAGACACTATTCTTCCGTGATGACGATCAGAAAATTTGATATTTATGAGTTCATCTACAAAAATCAAATATGACATTTAAAATATGGTTTTGTGTTTTGTTTCTTCATAATTTGACTGTATTGAACTATCAACGTATACCATCGTCCTTCAATGACGGACTTTATTTTGTTTTCAATACGTAGACTTGCACAAGCTCCAGAACCTGAGACAAACGATCAGAATGGATTTTACAAGTTTCAATTATTGAAAAAAACCACGTTGATTGAAATATAAGGATTGGATATTGCTTCGGTCGATTTCATGGGTTTATGAACTGAGTTGATCTTGAAACAAATTCAATATGAACTGCGAAAGCAAGATTCAATTCTTAATTAGGCATAGGACAAAGAAGAAAAATATTCTGCAGGGGTCTCCACATTAATCGCCTCATATATTACGTATACGCATCGGGATTCAGCAGGTCTATCATATCCATGTATATTGTAATAGTAAAATAGATTTATTTTGTCACTTTGTCACGCTTAATCGTATTGATCAGTTCATTCAAAAGAAATAATATCACATGTATATTCCAGGAACACATCAACATATTAAGAAACTAAGTATCACTCCTCGTATTTATGATGTCATCCTAATAGCATAGCGCTCACGTGACGTCATCAGAGATGGGGTGTGGTGCGTCAGCAGCTCCATCAGAGGCCCCACCCTCGGGGACAAAGGAAAAGGGGGACGTCATAGCAGAGTGAGTTAATAGATACGCTTTACTTGTTCCATAAATCCATAAGTTTATTTTTGATAAAATCAAAACCATTTTTCAGCAAGACACGAATTTGCGCTTCGATTTCATCGCCAAGCAATTTCAACCAATCAGAATTTAGATTTGGTTTAAACTTTGTTTTATTCAAATTTTGTTAGACAATACATCGAAATACATGTTTTATAAAACAGAAAAGGAAACAAACACAAGTATCGTGACACTTATTTAAATTTGTTACCTGCTTAGTAATCAGCTTTTCAACACTAGCTACAAGAATGAAGTAATATGTACAATAGAATAATTACGGGAATAGGGGAGGGGGTAATGGATTGGTGTGCAGTGGAAACCAGGAATGAAGAATATATCAATATGCATATGATCATCAGATGGTAATATCATATTGCTCTATTGCAATGAGTATGTGGAACACGATTCTGTAAAATATAACTATGCAATAGTAGATGAAAATGTCAGCAGTCCTGTAAATGGACACTCGAAAAAGGTAATTTACATAGAATAAATCACCACTTAATCAACTATTGGCAAAATTAGTATGTCACAAATCACCGCCATGATTATTAAAAACGTTGCAGTTCACATTCTAGCCATCACACATCAAATATAAGTCCATAAAACACTTTCCCGCCTCGTCCCTGGTACGTTAGATTTAGATTTACAAATAACGCGCCAAATTTTCGGTATGTGACGTCATCATTCTTTGTGTTATCTTTCAGATTATAGGCTACACAACAACCTAAAAATGTCTTTCATGCGGGGGGTGCAATTTTATCAATTTTATCTTTTTATAATAGTAAAAACTTAAAATATGCACAATTGCAAAATTTATACAACTGAGCCTTTTTACCGATGATTACATAATGCATTTCACAGTTTAAAAAAGAGTTTTGATTTACAGTTTAAAACCTAGCCTCTTTTAAAACAATGACTATTTTGTATTTAAACTTTCATTTCTTCGATCTTTACAGCCCGAAACCACGGATAAGTTTCAAACAGTCCGTCAACAGGGTCAAGCTCATAGGAAAACTTCAGACACTCAGAACAAAACGGAAGCGGAAACCATCCATCGCGACGCTTACACTAAATGTCAACATGATAACAACGGTGAAAGAAAAAATCCGGAATATCCGTCAAAGGTTTAAGGCGCCCCCAAGTCCTGTCATATTGGGGGTCATTGATACGGAAGTGACGTCATCTGCTAAAATTGTGCGGGTTTTCATCAGTAGCACATTCAAAGGTAAGTTTCAGAGTAGTGTTTTATGTAAACTTTATTTGTTTTACAACAATTATGAAAGAAGTTATTTTAACTTATACTGAAATCATTCTTGTTTGCCCGAATGTTAGTGCGCGAGGGTCTTAATGTGGGAGGAAACCGGAGTACCCGGAGAAAACCCACGTGATCGGGAAGGTGACCCCCAAAGAACAAGAACGAGGGAGCGAGATCACGAGATTTGTTATTTGGTCCTTATCGGCCACCATAAAAATCACCGACCTGTTTTGTATTGTGATATCCAACTAATTAGGTGTGTCGTGTAATATTTCGCATAATGGCTTGTACTTTTTGATAGATTCGGTAGAGGAGAGAAACATACTGATCGAGGAGGCGTATCCGGAACTGAAGTCTTTTTGTCAGGCCCGGGGGTACGATTTCCAGGTAGTGGACATGCGCTGGGGGGTGAGGGACCAGGCTTCCGATGACCATAGTACCACAGACCTCTGTCTCAAGGAAATTGATTTGTGCCAAAAATTGTCGACAGGACCAAATTTTCTGGTGAGATCTTTTGTACAATTTTTTTAAATAATTGTTTCGGCGAGTTAGATTCAACAAAATGTTCTTTAAAAAACCCAATTGTCTCTGGGTTATATGAAAGAAATAGTATAAGATTATAATTTTCAAAAAAAAGATTTTATTTTACTGCAGCGATTTTCTCTCTCATTCACCAATTTATATAGGAATTATCAATTTTCGTGTGGATTTTTGTTTGAAAGTGTCAAATCAGAATAGTACATCTCCTCAAAGCCACAGGGACCTGATAATTTGTTACAGCTATATTTGAACCAAAACTAAGATGTCAAGAGTAATTTTACATGTTTAGGGGTTTAGATCGATTTTCGGTAAATATGACACCCAATGATCATATGATCATTGAGGTGTCAATATGAACTTTGGGGGGNGTCATTATTACCGAAAGTCGATATAAACCTCTAAAGCATGTAAAATTACTCTGAACATCTTAGTTTAGGTCCAAATATAGCTGTAACAAATTATCAGGTCCCTGTGCTCAAAGCCTCAGATCCGCACTATCACAAGGAAGCAAATACACCAACATACCCCGTCTCCAGCACACATACACACGTGCACGCATCCACAACATACACGGAGGCACATCATTAAATAACCTAAGCTGTTATAAGGACGTTAAAAAAATAAAACCAAACCTCCTCAAAGCTGCTTCATATTTCAAAATGGAAAAAAAGAGAACCGGAAGTATGTCCGGAAGCACATATTATAATTATGCAGAACGTGGCACTTAATTTTTCTGAATTCATTGAACTAATTATTCTGCTTCTTGTTAACAGTCCTTTGTTTCACATCGGTATGGAGCCCCACAGCTGCCTCGTCAGATCGAGGCTGAGGAGTTCGAGAAAATGGTCAGCAATATTGACGAAGACGCTTCTGAAGGGAAAGAATTACTGACAAGGCAAGATCATTATATATTTTATCGAAAAAATTGGCAAAACGTTGTAGAATCTACAATGTGTTCTATGAAAACAGTGCTGTATATGCGTATATGTCTGAGGATGTTCTATAAATAAAACAATAACTGTATTTATCTATTTATTCAGATATATTTAATGAAACTGAAGGATGAATGATAAGAAATTATTAGAAAACATTTTAAAGAGAAATAAAAGGTCTGCTTATTATTTTTTTCAGAAAAGTGAATAACATTAGTTAAGGATGCCTGTCCCATTGCACTGTGGATTTCGTTTTGGATATAACTGTGGCACGGTTGGGCTCCGCCGGTTAGAGCGATATGATATGTTCTTTTTTCTCTTTTTTTCAGAAATGATTTATCAAAGCTATAGTTAAACATTTTTTAATGCATAGTTAATTTTTTGGGCAGTGGCGTGGGTATCCTTAAGTAAAAAAAAACAGTAAAAATTATTAATTTGTCAATTGATTTAGAAAATCATTGATGAAATATAACATAAATGATAAAGCAGAATTAAAATTAAGAAAACAAGACTGACGTCACAAACCACATTCTTTTGTCCAATCAGATGGTACCTTCGTGATGAGAACAGAGTACCAGTGACCTACATTCTGTCACCAATAAGTCGTCAAATTCCGGACTTTTTCGGCAAGAACGAAGAAGAAACGACGCTGCTTGCTAAGCAACGATGGCTAAGGGAAAAAGCGGCCATGCTGGAAATGCTTCAAGATCTGGCTCAGAAATATTTGTCACCCAGCGAGTGTGAAAAATACGAGATATCAGGTAGTTAACAAAATATCACACGATTACTGTTGATTGCTTAATTTTTCGCAAATTTTATTCAGCAATTGTGCCCCAAACGACTTATCCGCGTGCATATCATATCTGTCACGGAACAGGAGCAGGCATACATGTACACGCTGTTTTATATTTGTGTGCAGTTCTTTTTGTGAAGTATTCGCTTTCAATACTCTTTGGAATTAACATGAAAATTTAAAATCACAAATTTAAAAAAAATCATGCGTTAAATCACGTTATTCAATTTTACTTTTGACTAAATTGTTATTTTCATGCGATATCTGCGGAAAGGTCAATTGTTGAACTTAACACGGCTTTGAAATGCTCTGTTTAGTAAGGAATATGAATCAAATTCTGAATTCAATATATCGCAAAATGACACCACGTGAAAACGAAGCAAAATACAGAATTTGTGAGGGTTTCAATTCGCAAGAGGAAGAATATCATCTTTTTCACTCAAACCATTGATTTGAATGAGCAACAGACGCTCTTCGCGAGTTAACGCGAAAATATATTCATGTTGTAAACAAAACTGAATTAGCCATGTACAGACCAACAAGAGATAAATAATATATAATATATATATAATAGAAATATTGAATAAAAGTAAAGTTTAATTGAAAAAAAATGCATATCAAATTTGAAAATCTTATCAATAACATCTGCGTTTTCTTTCAAATCCCCTCAATAAGCCTTAGATTGATTTCATTATTGTACTTAAAATACTATACGTATGTTGCATAAAACATATTTATTCTGTTTTATCTTTAACTCTTCCAACAATTCAGCCTTCTTGTGAAGGCCTATTTCGGAATCCGTTAATCATTAACACAGGGATTTAACATGTCATAATTCTATAGCATATTGGTCGTAATAAAGGACAAATATGTCGACTTGTATTGCAAATAATCACGCGTTTGAGCCCTGTGATTGTTAAAACAAACACAATTGAAATATCCCAACAGAACGCCATATATGGCGAGCGAGTATTTGACGTAAAAGTTTCGCGTGAGACACCGGGCAGCCATTTTACGTCATTTACACGTCGCGTGACAATGTTGTTGCTGATTTTAGTGACGGAGAAAGAAACGGCAGTGGGGCTTATAGACACCCCGGCCCCCGGGAAACACTGTCTGTGGTTCCGGCGTAATATAACGGATATTGAGGATCAGCCGCCAAGTGATCTGTTGGAGAGATACATGGGTAAGCTATTTTTATTACGTCTTTACGTCATTTCGCTTCATTCGTTTACATCACATCCTCTATACGGATTGCTACAGAGATACTAAGGTAACTGTCCCTTGTCCCATATCTCACCCTTCCAGCGATCTTCCTTAGAGATACATAGAGAATAATACATGCCTTTTTCCATATCACACCCAGTATCAACCCGAGACTGCAATATCAGCCCAAAGGCCGAAGGCCCGAGGGCTGATATTGGGCGAGGGTTGATACTGGGTGTGATATGGAAAAAGGTGTGTTTTATTCTGTTTATTATATACTTACTAATAAAAACTTCTATCTTATGATTTATTTTTATTTTTGAAATATTGAAAAACTTTTTTTTCCCAAAAGGGGTGTGATATGGGTTTTGCGGGCTGATACGGGTTTTGGGATGTGATACGGCGAAGGCTGATATGGGGTTAGAGCAATTGTGTCGTATCGCATATACAAAAAACCCGTATTTATTAGTAAGTATGTAATAAATAGGTATACAATCGTTAGGTGACTTCCGCTTCCTTGATATATAGGTAACATGCATCCATATGATTGTTTCTACGTCATTTCCGATTCTTTAATTTTCTTCACTTTTACAGGACTTAATTTTCTTTCCAAAATCTGGAGAATGTGAACGAAATATGTGTGTGTTTTTTTTTTAACTAATATTGCCCTTCTGGGAAGGAAGGAAGGAAGGAAGGGACTATAAGTTTCATTAAGGCAGGAAAGTCTTGAATAAATTACGACGATTCGTCTACATTGTTTATGTCCGAGTTAGTACGATGTTTTCACGAGTTTTAAGAGAAGGTTATTAGAGGAAAAGTGTACAGAAGATAAAACTAATGTGTATTTGTCATAGTTCAAGTATTTTATTTACCGGTCATAAAAGGGTTTAAATTCGTTAATTGCCGTTTCATTTTTGCAAGTCCTATAACATATTCAATCTTTCTTTCTCGGCTCTAGAATGTAAGGGACCAGACACAAAATGGCAGGCGGCTCGAGAGTCCTTAAGGAAACTGAAAGACGAGAAGATGCCACTAGTATTACCGCCGCAAAACCTGTTCACCTACGATATCAAATGGACGGAAACAGGTAAATAAAAGAGTAGATACGATAAGGGGCAGGTTTGGACCCTTCTTTGAAATCTACGTTGCCGGATCCCATCTGCACGTAACATGTCGAGTTTGAGGATATCTTGTTTAAGTTTGCTCTTGTATTTTACAAGTTTTCTCAACTGCTGGGTTTAGAGGGTATCATGCAATTAAGGATCCCCGTCTCATTGTACTGTGGTTTTTCGTATATACAGTAGCCTCCCCTTAATTTCCCTTCGGATATAACTGTACCAAAATTGGGCCATGACACATCAGTCGACAAGATATAGGTCAATCGGTTAGGGCGATAGAGTCCAGTGTTCGAATCCCAGTCTAGCCCCTGCTGAAATTGTACACTCAGAACCCTGTTGTTGATTAAATTTTGTTGATTTCATCTTAATTTTTTTCATAAAAGTTCATAAATGTTTAATCAAAGAGAAAGTCATGCATGAAGTTAGTGCGTAGTTACAGTCTTTGGTAGAGAGGTACGAGCATCTTTAAAAAAAATAGAACACTTTCGGACTACAACAATAATTTAAACAAATTAAATTAAAGACAATTTTGATCCCGATGATGGAGCATCTTGATTTACCCATCGAGTACGTCTCCTACAAAATGAGCCCTAAAGCTTTATCATTAAGCAAATCTGTTATCATTTTAGACAATATGACCCTCGGAAGTCGAACATCAACTAAAAATCACATAACATTTGCGAATGTGTTTTTTTTCCAGCAATTGTTTTGTAAAATGTTTTATTTACAAGAGTTTAAGTTCACGAAATAAACAATTAAAAAATACTATCTACATGTGATCCAAGGTCATAACTAGCCCTTGTTCGGAGTGGATTAATTTAAGAACTTGTCCAGGACAGGGCCTTGCTAGGGGGCAAGGGGTACAACAAGCAGCGTTTTTGTTTTCTTTGGGGTTTTTTTCTGTTTAAAAATTTGGTGGATTCACCTGCATGACAGCGTATAGGCAGCTATGCGCCTGCGTTTATATACATTTTTGTGAGTCAAGATTTTTGCGCTCGATTCTATTTGCGAATGAACGCTAAAATACGTCTCTCACAAGTATTTAAACATACTGTATAATTAATTGAAATTTCAGCCCCGAAATTTAATCATTGAGCAAATGTCTACAATTAAAAGTATCTGAACACTGGGATTTTGAAATATATTTCAATATGTTCTTAAAACAATTTGAAGCCGGAGAAACCAGAGTACGTCTGGCCAATGTAGGCGTCACTGCTAGCCTGGGTTACTTGCACGTAAATCCGGTCCCCAACACGTAGATTCAATATGGCGGAGTTTGAACTCGAGGCTGGTACGTTGTTGTCGCCGGTCTGGAGCATGCCCACAAAGCGGCCGTTATTCAGAAGACTGGTGGTGATTGTGCCACCTAATCCACTCGTGGGGACAGCCTGGTTGATGCTCCAGTGAAAAACGTAGGTCCCCGACGTAGGGCACGTGAAAACACCCGTACTTGGAGTGTAAGCGTTACCGTCGTTAGTGTAGGTGTATTCGTAGTGGAGAGTTTGGTGATCCGAAACGTGTGGAATGTTTTGTCTGATAATTGCATAAAACGCCACGTTGGATCCTGAAAAAAAAATCATATTTTGAATTAAAAAAAATGGCTAATCGTGTTTATTTATTTGTTTTTTTTTGATTGAATGATATAAAAAAAAATCCTAGATTTTATCTTTGTTTCAGACCTGTGTTTGAAATACCTACACTGTCAACTTCTTATCTACAACTGATGTTAAAATTATTGAAAAATATTTGTAGCTTTCTAAAATGTCTGATGGAAATTATTAAGTCTCCAGACTAACTGAATGCTGTGCTCTCTACTGCTCATTATTTTAGTTTAAACATATTTTATTGCCAAAAGATGCAAGAGGATTGGGCACAAGTTACATAAACATTATTAACGCCCTTTCATTATAAGATAAATAATTGTATATACACATCAAAAGATGGCTTTCATAGTTTAAATCACTACATTTATCTATTATTGAGAGAGAGAGAGAGTGTGTTACTTATTCATTGCAGTTTATATAATGTACATGCTAATTATATATAGCGTTGTTACAAAAGAAACACGGAACGCAAAGAAATTTTAGTTCTTGACTATAAGGAAAATGAATTAAATTATAAAAAAATATGAAAATGAAAATGAAAATGCCTTACCAGTCTGTCGCCCTAACCTGTGTAAGCTATCTGTTGATTCCAACGCGCTGAGCCTCTCAGAAAGTTTCTGATTATCCGAACTGAGCTGTTGGTTTTCCACTCGTATTGTGTTCAGTTCCTGTTTCAAGGAATGAAACAGTTTCATATCGTCTGCTCGCAATTTTTCCCACTCGCTGACATCTTTTCCCGGATTTCCGAAAGCCAAAGACAGAGAAAACAAAATGACTGAAAGGAAAAGAAAAGACATATTTGCCGGGATCTACGAACTGGAATGGAAAGATTTTAGGGATTGAGGCCTTATACATATATACAGATACGATATCTTGGTTGGGGTCAGAAGATAAATTCCCACATTTTGCCAACAAGGTCAGCCATTTTTACAGGAATAGCACGAACTGGACGATTCTTACGTGGCACATGACCTCATTATAATATCTTAGTCTTGACCTTTTCGTACGCTCAGTTTCTTTGTACTGAAAATTCGTAAGTAAGTCATGGACGATGACATTGTTTATACTTTTTGACTGAAACAGAGTTTTCATAACGTAAATTTCATTTTTATTTATATTCGTGTAAAAAAAATATAGATTCATAAAACATCTCACAGTTGATGTGATAAAACTCGATTTAAAACATTAAATATTCACGTTCCCCGATCGGAATGTCACTCGGGCTTTTTCGGCAATTACAACAAACGCTTTTTCCCCCCTGAAAATTCCCGATAATATCCGATTGTAACTTTCCATATTGTATACCTGCTATTTGTTGGCCATTCCGGCAATCACCTAATTCTCGTCAATCGTAAATTCCCGATGATATCCGATTTTAATCTTCCATTTTGTGTACATGTTAGGTTCGGGCCTTTCCGGCAACCACAAAATACACACCCGAAAATTTCCGATGATATCCTATTTTGTATACCTATTAGGTTCAAGACTTTCCGGCAATCATTAAATACTCGTCAACCGGCAATTTCCGATGATATCCGATTTTAACCTTCCATTTTGTATACCTGTTAGGTTAGGACTTTTCCGGCAATTATGAAATACTATCAACCGGAATTTCCCGATGATATCTGATTGTAACCTTCTATTGTGTATATCTGTTATTTCAGGTGTGGATAAGAATAATCCAGAGCACTGGCGATACCTGAAGAAGCTGACATCAGACCTCGTGACCAGAATGAAGGAGATGATACTGGACGGTATCATAAATCAGTCCCCGAACAACCGTGACGTCATGCTGGTCGAATGCTCACAACACCTGTCATTTGCAAGAAAGAAGTGCAACATTTTCTACGGTCGGGAGGAAATTTTAGCGGTTTGTTCAACGACACCCCTCGATATATCGAACTATTGATAACGTTCTCATTTTCAGACATTCGCGATATTTCGAAGTAATTACCATTGTTTTTGAAACCACAGACGTAGAAAAAAAATTGTGCAGATGCGCTGATGGCCGGCCATATTGCGCACCTAATGAAATAAGTTTCTCGTGAAAATAAATAAGAAACAAATGTTGTTGTTTTTTTAAAATAAAGAGGAATGTACACTCTATCAGTAAATGTTTTAAGATCATTATAATTATAAGATGAAGTCATCAAAAAACGAATGAATGTACTTTCCCCTGTGTTCCATATGACGTTACATTTTCCCATAATCTTGTGTATTTTCTTGGTCTGAAAATTTAAAAACTTGTTTTAAGCTTCCTGCTCCTAAATTAATATATAAGTTTGGCTTGTGGAACCCCTTGTCCGAATTATATGAGATTTAATCGATTGTCCCTCCTTCTTAAAAACGGACTTGAGCAAGGCTTCAACTTGAAATGCGTTAAGATATGGTTAAGATCTAGAATTAGAGTTCTAATAATATTCAGAGGTTTGTACCATTTACATGTGGAGTTAGTAAGACAAAATATGATTCTGAATTCTAAATATTTTGAAAACATTTCAAATTTAAAAAAAAATGGTTTTATCTATTTAAAATTCTTAATATCTTTATAGAAAGTTCGAGATTTCCTTAGCAACAAATCAAGAAGGCTTTTAGTGATCCATGGAAAATCTGGGTCAGGTAAAAGCTCGATTGCTGCCATGACAGTCAAGCACGCGAGGACATGGATGTCGTCTAAAAATGCTGCCGTTGTTATTAGGTAACTATGGCAACAGTGCGTCATACAAGGTTTTTATTGGTCATAGATCCACATGTAGCCGGTACGAAATTTTAAATTCGTTTTAAACGACATGAAAATGGAACGCTGACATTAGTATTTTATTAACTGTTGTTTCGCACAATGATATTTTAAAGTTAAAGTGAAAAAAATGCATCCATTTTGTAATTTGCGGCTTCTTTATGCTACTATGCTAGGCATTGACGCAGTCGTGCTGGGTTCGCAAATTCATGTACCGCGAAAGCTGCAAAATTAACTCTGCCACAAAAAAATCCCGGTATACAGTATATACACATGTATAAGTTAAAGTTAACTTCAGGACTTCATTTCAGCGTTTGTAACGATGCAGTTCAATCTAAATGTCTTTTCCAGATAATATGATAAACTGTATATATTTTTTGAACTTCGCGCATGACTAATTTCGCGATCTGACCTTTATTAACAGACGGTGTTATCACGCGAGCGGGAGGGCGGGTGGACGTGCAAGGTTTCTGCTTGATATTTCAAGTAATATCCGGCGGATTAACTTAAAACTTGCTGGGAAGGTTAATTACTATATAAGCTCGAACAAGTATGATAACCACCGTTATCCGACAGTAATTTACGGAGTTATGCCCCTTTATTCAATGCAACGTGTGGCGGGCGCTTAGCGGTAACCTTGTTTGTATATTATTTTCTGTCAATTTGCTATATTGGAACGTGAACTTGCTGGACAGGAATAAAAACGGGATGAATGAGAATAAATTCTACATTTTATGTTCTGCAGATTTCTCGGTACGACGGCGACTAGCTCTACAATCCTAAGTCTTCTACAAAGCGTTGTAAAACAGGTGAAGACAATATACCGACAGAATCCCTCTGTATCACAGGTAGGTTACAAGCTTTCTGGGGACTATAAAACGAGAGCAGTTAAGGATCCCCGTACCACTGCAAAAAACTGTAAATATTCCATGATTTTTTTTGTGGCTTGATTCTAGCTTTGATAAATCATTTCTGAAAAGAAAACCTTACCTCGCGGGACTGTAATGAAAAACAAATGATAACGGTGAAATAAAATAATGATAAAGAAAGAGCCAGTCCAGGGTTCGAAACACGGACCTTCGTTCATTATCCTGTCGCTTTAACTATCTGAGCTCCTCTATCAATGGCAGTCCCCTGACCCAATCGGGAACCGTCGGCACTTTTCGTAAATTATAAAATACTCGTTACGTAAAGTACCGACGGTTACCGATTGTCGTTCTAAAATTTTATCCGAAAACAAAACTAAGGGAAGTGGGGTACTGAATGTGTAAAAAAAAAACATGCATGGGAATTCTTTGTCAATTTGCCTGCAATGGGAAATGAATCCTAGTCCCGTTTATAGGTTTGCCTTTTTTTGAACGTAGACAATGGGCGAATTTAACATGAAGTGAACTCTCCGAGGACAATTTGATGAGCAAATTATAAATACTATTGCGTACAGCACATTCAAGTGTAAGCATATTAACTCATTTATAAGGAAACGTATTTACGGTGAACAAAACAATGCATTCGGTCTAGTTGTCGTTTAAGCAAAAGAACAAAATATATTTAAAACATAAGAATCGAGTAATAAACCATCCTTCGTTTATATCACAGAATCCAAAGGCATTGATGAAGGAATTTGAAAACTGTCTAAAAATGGCCAAAGCTGACCGCCCCCTTGTGGTCATTTTGGACAGCCTTAACCAACTTGACACTGAAAATTCCGGACATAAACTTGAATGGCTAACCCTGACTATGGAAAATCTTCCCCACGTGAAAATCGTTCTGACCACGCTGGACGATGACTCAAATGGGACTCTTGGTCGACTTAAGGTGAGTCAAGTAGCAGACATTTTTAAATAGTACGTTGTTTTAAAGATGCATTCACCACAGTTTTGTATTGAAGTAGATCCGTCATACACCGCACAGTAAACCATGTGTGATTTGTTAGCTTATAACTCAACAGAATGGAAGTTTGAAGCACATCAAAATGAAATACTTTGTAAGATCATGCTGCTCGTATGCTAATGACTGTCTTTAATATTTTGCAACACGAACTGTCCTATGTGAGTAATTTTGAGTAATCTGTGTTTAAGCCTTCCCGTTTCAAAGGTGTACCAGTATAGTTGAAAAAAGCGGATGGAACAAAATTTAGCTATTGTTTTAATAGATACAACAGCTTGAAGACTAACCCCAAAGCATGCAAAAATAAAAGCCGAAAAAGAAGGGTTCAACACAAAAAACCGTTTGCCAAACTCATTCATTAAATAACAACCCTTCCCTTTTTCCAACTCACTTTTACTGACCAATTAGATTATCAGGTTTTTTAATGGTTAAAAAGTGGTATATTATTTTTCAACTAAAATCAAGTTCTTAAAATATCAGTAATGTAAATAGTGCATATTCATCACAGGATAAATACACCGGAAGTGAAAGTTACATCAGCATACCAGAACTTCCAGCAAAAGATACGGAGGGAATAGTACAGCAATATCTCAACCAACGAAACCGGAAGTTGACTGCTGACCAAATGACGTACTTCCTGTCGCACATGAAGTCGTGTGCGATCCCACTTTACTTGAAGCTGTCGTTTAATGAAGCCTGCAAATGGCATTCATACACACCAAGTGATGAAATGATGCTTCAAGCCACCATAGAAGAAAGTATTAAACATTTCTTTTCTCACCTAGAGCGAAAACACGGGAAGATCTTCGTCTTCAAAGGTCTTGGATACTTAACCGCAGGTATTATTAATTATACAATTGTGTTGAAAGAGATTGTCTCCCTTGTGGAATGGTTTCCCACTAGAGAGGAATAATTCTGTTAAACATTGAATGCGAGACATTAAGATATGATAATAACAATTCCGTAGTCGTCGATGAGTCAAATCAGAACTGTTTCCAAGGTTATACTGGTTCGGAAATTCTGGTATGACAATGCATCTCCAGCACACACGCAGGCATACACACATAGTAAGATATTAGCCAGGTGGCATAGGACTTGTAGTTAGCGCCTGATAAGGCAGCTCCTGCGAATTCCTCAAAAAATGTATATCCTCTTTAGAGTGGCGTAATGTTAGCTAGATAGGGCGCTATATCAAATGTTGCATATTATTATTATTATCACGTTTCTATGATCAATTGTTTCTAGTAAGTATTTTAAATATGCATACAGATTACACTTTCACTGCAGTTACACTGCCTTTTAACAAGTATCTACTTTGAAAAGTCTCGTAGCTGCGTTTAAATAATAAACACGTTTTCATAGTTACATGCTAAAAGGTGTGGTTACCGCATTAGTATGTATATATGTTACCAAGGTTACAGTTTGTCATGGATGCTAACCGCATGCTAGGTATACACGTGTCCAAGGTCACCGTCCGTAATGTATGGTAACCGCATGTGAAAGATATACATTATAAAGGTTACCACATTGGTGTGTATATATGTAACCTTGGTTACAGTTTGTCATGGATACTAACCGCATGCTAGGTATACACGTTTCCATGGCCACCGTCCGTAATGTATGGAAACCCCATGGGAAAGATATACATTATAAAGGTTACCACATTGGTGTGTATATATGTAGCCTTGGTTACAGTTTGTCATGGATACTAACCGCATGCTAGGTATACACGTGTCCAAGGTCATCGTCCGTAATGTATGGAAACCTCATGTGAAAGATATACCTTTTGAAGGTCACAGCTGGTGATGCATAGTAATGTTTCCCAATGTTTTAGCTTATTTATGCATATTAACTACACGTTGAGTTAACACGTTTCTATGGTAACGGTATGTGAGTTATACGAGTTTTCATGGTTACAATCTCTTACGTAAATATGTTTCTCCTTGGTTACAGCACGTCTCGGCCTGTCAGAGCCGGAGCTGGAGGACGTACTATCTTGCGATGACGTCGTCCTTAGCGACATCTACCAATACTGGACACCGCCCGTCAGACGTCTTCCGCCATTACTGTTCGTCCGGCTTAAGATGGACATTGACGAATACCTTGGTTAGCAGAAACATTTTCCCATCGGCTAACTAGTTGTATACATTGCATCCCCACCGCTTCAAAAAGTCTAATTTGTTTGTTTATACCCTGCATATTTCAGATTGTTATCTAAGTTTTAATTTTCTTTTTGTCTTTTTTCTCTCTTTGTGTTCCAGTGGAGCGGGGTGTGGATGGAACACGTGTTCTGTTCTGGTACCATACGCAGTTCTTGGATGTGGCCCGTGACCGGTATTGTGAAACCGAGGCTGTTAGACGACAGCTTCACGAGGCGCTCGCCGAGTATTTCAGCGGGAAATGGGCGGACAGTGAGTGTAAATTAATTATTAATATTTTTCATCATAAGTATGTATTCAAGAATTCATATTTCGAAACATGCAAGTATATGAAAACTACAGTCAGAGTTTTTGTTGAATGTTGATAGCACAATCATTAATATTTTAACGTCGGTTAAATGATTATAAAACGAGAGAGAAAAAACCCATACATGTTGACTTTAATTACATTTTCAAATCACTGTTGTTTTTTTAATTTGGAGACCACTTTACTATTAGCAACATATTTTCTTTTGTTTTTAAGTATGGTTTCTATGTTAACCAGTTGATATTTGCATATTTTTGAGAAATTAAATTTTCAGTAAAGTTTGTGATTATGCATACTCCTTTGATATTCAGGTTGTTCAAGCTGCACTCTATAGTTTGTAGAAAAAGGATTTAGTATAACTGACAAGATTTAGTGAATATTCAAACATCTCTAATTTATGCAAATTTCAACTGGTTTCCAAGGCAACCACTATATTTAAAAAAAAAATCGTTTCATAGTATTAAAGAAAAACAAGAAAAGATTATTTGACAGTTAAATTAAATTTTCTAAATTTGATGGATTTGGGGATGCAGAGACCGAAGACATACACTGTTACGTTCAAATCTCAACATTTAAATGTGGATGAAATAGGTTTGAACCTATAACAAGAAGTTTTTATCAATGCATGATATTTTTCCATTTCCTACAGAAAAGGAGAAAGCTTACAATGACAGAAACGGAGAAGAGCAAAGGGCAGATCGTTTGGTGAAATCTCAGCCAATCATATTGGGCGACACATACAACCTTCGGAAACTCAACAATCTACCTTACCACTGGGCGAGTGCTAATCACGTGCAAGAACTGAAGAAGGAATGTTTGATAAACTTTTCCTTCTTGCAGGCGAAACTCAATGCGACCTCCATTGGGTAAACTTGCATAGATGTTTTTTGTTTATCTAAAAATCAAATCCGTTTATTTGTTTAGTGAACGGAGGGTGGCTGGGTGTAGGGGTAGGGCAGGGGGTAAAGCTTAAAAACAATGACACAATGTAGCTTATTTTAGGCTCGGCTCATTTTTAAGGCTGACCTTGAAATGGTAGGTACTCAGTGATGTTTATAAAACGTTAAAAGGATTTAACTCCTATCAGCTGGTCGCTTTTCAGTTAAACACCTACTCGCAAAAGTTGAAGTATTAAATCTTAAACATATTTTAATTTTGAAAATTACGGCTTGTTTTCCCCAAAACAAATGACTGCTGGGAATGCTAAACTAATATTTTTGTATGATGTTGATGTATGTTCATAGTGTTTCCCTTCTAAATGGTCGTTTTACAGGAATATCCTGAATGACTACCAGCTGGCTATGTCCACCTTCCCAGATGACCAAGTGATTCAGCTCGTTGCCAAGGTGATGCAGTTGTCGCAGGCTGGACTGCGGGCTGATCCTGTACAGCTGGCGACACAGCTGCTGGACAGGTGTGATAAAGAACAGGCGAGTTTGCAGGTGTTCATTTGTGAAATAACCATAGCAACAGTGGTTCATCAACATAATACCATAAACATAGATAGAGGGCTAGAGAAATACCTATCAATAAATAAATAAATAATAAATAAATGATAAAAAAATCATAATAAATTACTAAAAAATAAAAATAAATAGATAAATGAAAAAAAAAAAAAAAAATGAAAAATAAACAAAGAATCAAATTTTACACAAGTTGTAGCAGAGGATCTCTATTTTGTTTCCACAATCTCCCATAGGCAGAGGGAAGAGACAAAAAAATATTTCTTTTGGAACACCCAAATAAGTCGTCTGTTACAATGTGATGCTACACAAATATATAAGCTTATTATAAAACAGTTTTCTAATACCAAAATGAGTCGGTCCCTTAGAGTTTGGAGAACTTGTGCGATCTAGATTTTCATTTCCGAAAATACTTTGATTTGGTCAATCCAGAGCTAAACATTTGATAATCAGCACGAGAAACATTCATCGTTGCTACTTATTTGATCTACAGATAAAGAGGTTTTGGTTCGAATGCGTCAGGAACTTGTGAGCTACGTGGCTCTGTACGTAGACCCAGACACTTTCACCAGTGTGCTGAAATTAAATCAGTCTAACAAATAGGCATCAACATACTATAATGTAATGTATGCTATGAGCCTTTCCTTTCATGACGGTTACATCTTTTAGTTTCCTTAACTTACAGTCTTACATTTTGCAATTAATTCGATGGTCACCGAATTGTTCCTGATATCACTATTTTGGCGACATTTTTCGATAGCTAAATGCAAAAGTGACAACGCAGGGATTCGAAGATGTAGATTTATGAAGACGTTGTCAATCATCAAGATATTATAGGATAACATTACTTTTTCATTTTGCGATATTGATATTGTTTTGTATCATGCTTTTAAGTGTACCTTGTCCTTTCGTTGTTAATTTCAATGTTCGGTCTTTGAGAACGCGATATTGTAGTAGCCAATCACTTTTAGGGGAAATACTGCCTTACTGTTATCTTCAATAACATTCACCAGTTTAGAAAAATGTAATCTCAAAGTTTTATTTTCTCAAAGTTTTATTTTATACGTAAACAGTGTACGTATTAAATGTGTCGAGACATTTCAAGGCCGACTGGTACTTCCAGCGATGCGGTATAACCAACTGGATCACGCGCGATAGTGCAGCAACGTCGAACGTAGTCAGTGGCTGGATAGGTGTCTGTCACACACGATGATACATTTGGTGGCAGCGGTGGGATAGTTGGATATCTTGTATTCTTGTATGACCAATTCGTGGTAACTAGGGAAGGTGGATTGTTACATTTACAAAGGGAAGTCCCAAAGGATTCCCTATGGTCGAGACTTCTCGGAGTGGAGTATCGTTAAGCAAGAAATATGAAGGGAAATAACCGCCTTACTGGATAGATTGATTTTCCAGCTATGCGGTTAAACCAAGGGACTAGCGCAGTAGTTAAACAACGTTGAGCGTTAGTGGCTGGAGGGATGCTCGCTTGCATACTTTACAACATTACTTGGTTTTTACTTGAATTTGTGCAGTGTTTTTTGTCGATGAAAACGAAGACGCCTACTGTAATGACCCTCGTGGTGTAATTCTCAGTTTTGCTTGGTGTACTTTTGGCCTTTCGTCGTCTGTTGTATACCTCTACATGTTAAGGGAAGAATAGACCTGCTGTATCACACAGCATAGGTTTGATTTCGTCCGAGACCTTTGCTTATGGGGCATTATAGAAAGCATTTATTTTGATCTGCTTCCTCCATAGCCACAGTTCGGATCTATATTTGTTTCTCTTTTCGCTTCCCCAACCTTTGTTTTTTGGCAATGGCTCCTTAGGACGCCTGTGGTAATGTAGCCTTAGCTGTCATCAAGACGTTAAACCTGAAATAAACAAACAAACAAACAAACTCAGGCAAACAAAAAACACCAGTTACTTGCAAATTACATCGATCGAAAGTTTCCCTGTATTTACTAGTTTGTGAAACAGTTGACTTCCTCCAAATATTCTTAATAGACAAAGCAATTTTAGAAAGCAGTTTGAATATCAAATGTTGTTTTATTTTAGCACGGAAAAATTGTTGACTTGTTGAAAGATTGTGCCAGCTTCCCCGGGTATACCTTGGTAGCAGACAAGCGGCTACTGACCAAAGCAGACGAACAAATTCCAGCCGTCTTCACTCACGAGAGTACGATCACCGGGATGGATATGACTGTCAACGGCCGTATCCTCGTCACATGTAAGTTTATTCTCGACGAACTCATAGTCATGTGTGAGCTTGAATTGCTACGTACAAATCAGATGGAAGCTTGTTTGGACGATACGCAATCGTCACGTGGCTCTCAGTGAAATCTTAAGTCACACGTGAGCTTACACTATAGCATTCTCTTCTTTTTGATGATATATTGATTTCATTTTGATGATTCTGTTCTCTGTGAAATCGTTGACATGTGTGAGTTTGCATTGCACCATCCTCGGCAATTGGAAACTTGTTTTGATTATATCCTGTTTGTTCTTATCATATAGAAATCATATATATACACTCGCGTCAGCTCAAATTATAGCAAATTTGCGTTTAACATTTCCGGTTTCTTTGGATTGTTGGAATCTTCATGTGTTGTTACTTTACTAGAAGTGTTTACTGCCGAATTAAGGTAGTCGAAAAAAACAGAAATGTCACTACGCCGCGAAAAAAGCATTACATGTACTGTATCGGCTAAGTAAGAATGTTGAGGGTATTCACTGTAGAAGCAATAACACAATTCTTTCAAGAATTCTTCATTAATCTGATGTATTTTGATCCACAAAAAAACCCACCTTTGTTTAACGCTCAATGCTTGTCTTTTCGTTAATGATATTTGAGCGAATTACTTTTCCTTAACCACTTTTGAAGGAATTCTGTTGATTTAGAAATTAAGTTTCGTAATTTTAGCATCTGGATTTATGCCCTTTTAATAGGTGATGAAAACCATACAATCAAATTCTGGAATTTAAGGGAGAAAAATTTCATCAAAGGATTCACTGATGTCGTCAAGGACATTTCCGATGTCCACTTCGTTTCCCATGACCATTGCATTCTTGTCGAGCACAACAAGAAAAGCCGCTTGACCACTCTGAATGCCAACGGTAAAATCCAAGGTCAGATTGACGTGGATTTCTGCTTTACCCTTGGTGGACCTGGTAAAAGCCTGTTGCTAACAGCAAAAGGATACATGTTTCAAGTCTTTGATGCAGAAATGTTAACATTTGTGAAAGAGAAAAAGTCGCCAAAGAGCGCTGTTCTTGGATATTGTCTTACAGGTAAGTTATTTTATTTTTTAGGTAAGAGATCTTTTGTTATATTTTACAGGTAAGATATTTATTTTACAGGACGGGTATTAGGTTTCAGGTAAGAAATTTAAATAATTTTTTCAGGTAAGATATTCACCTTACAGGTAACAGATCTTTCGTTCAATTTATTGATATCTCTTCCTACAAGTAGAATGCTTGTTTTTGTTTATTTAAAAATGTATTAGAGGTTGATAATTTATTTAGTTTATTGTATATGTGGTCTATATTATTTGTTGTATGGATTTCTGGTGACAGATCATCGCTAAAACTGATGAAATAAAAATATTAAAATCCGGAATTTAATATAAAAATTCCGTTGTTTTGTAGCTAACGAGCATAAGGCCGTTATAGGGCTTGGAGGTCAAAACAAGGTCAGGATTAGTGTCCTTGACCTCAAGACGATGGTGTTCACGCAACAGAAAGAGCTACCTGTAAGGAGCATGCATGGTAGCGAGGATGACAGTGATGAAGATAACGTATCCTCGATTCACCTGACACCTAGCGGCCGACACCTAGTCATGACGACAGAGGGCGACTCGGGGTTTATTGTGTACAAGATGCCATCGCTCAAAGAATTGTACCGCATTCCAGGTGAGCGAGAGTAAATTATAGACCATAAAAATATATGAAAAAAAGTATGGTTTAGTATTAAGACCAAACATGCGTTAAAATATTCAGATTTTGGGGATAAAATATGCCTGCTTTATCCCACTGTATGATCACATGAGGCGACCAATGTGCCCCCTCTGCGCAGACTTTTTCTTGAGTGTCATTAGCTAAGATAACTTAATGGAAATCAATATTTATCTAATTGTTACACCTGGGGCATCTGTCTTTTCACTTTTTTCCTATTTACGTTTACTTTTTCTTTTTGGTGGTGTCGTGGACTCCTCTTATTAATCCATGATACATTATTTGCTCCATGACACTCATATGACGCTCACATGTCACTCACATGACAATCCACCGGAGGAGACTGGTTGGAGTGTCATGCTTCCACTTCTAGATTAAGACATTTCATTGAGATGACACTTTATGTCATAGAAACTATTGGGTACATTTTGAGAGTCTTGCACACAATCTTGGGAACATAATGAAAAGAATTTTAATTCTTTCCATTTTCATGTAGGGGCTGCGATGCCCGCGGGTGTTTGGGGCGTCTGGATTTCTATGATCAATATAGCCCTTCACAACTGCGTAGCGTGTTTGACGCCTACGTCGGGCCGTCACCTAGTACTGGTCACAGGCCGGTGGTTTTTAATATCGTCTAACCGATATTTTCGAAACTTATTTCGGCGGCCGACTGGTGTTTTCTTCCCTCTCATACCCCTGGGGTCCAGACCCTCCACCAGGGCTTCACCCCTACCCAAGTTTCAATGTGGTCTCTTTGTTCTCCAATATCACAGCCAAGACATGTTTTCCTCATAGTATATTGCACGTAAAGGTGACGTTTTAACGCACCGATAAAAAGCGAATACGTGACGTCACTAATGCACTTGATCAAGTTATGTTAAAGTGTAGCGAGTCGTTCATACAATTTCAGGTAACAAGGATGAATCACGATGGGACTTCCATTTTGGTGCAATGGGACATTCACTATATTTTCTGACCCTGGCCGAGTTCAGTCTCTCCTCAATACAGACGCTGGACGTCCGTTCAGGGGAGATAAACACTGTTTTGTACACAACCGCCAGTCGCGTTCGTACCCACAGAGCGAGTGTTCTGGTGACGGGCGGGTTCGATGGTGTCGTCAAGATGTGGGACCTAGCTGGGCTCAAGGTGAACACTCGGTCGGTGGCCGGAGAGAAAGGATTCCGGATTGAGTGAGTCTAACTTAATAGGACAGATCACCCCGTACCATACTTTTTAAAAACAAGAACAGTTTGATTTCCCATATTTTTTTGTCCAACTGCTTATTATTTACAACAGAACAGAATTGGCCTGTGTTATCTCATTATCGATATCTTCTAGCATTTTGTTCCGCTCTCGATATCACATTGACAGAATTTAAAAACCCTGTTTAAGATACTTTGCTCATATGATACGAGTAGGGATAGTTCACGAAATCTTGCATTCCTCTGATCTCAGAGTAATGCTTTGATTAAAGATGAAAGTTAATCGCGCAGCAGCGTAGCGGTAAACTTAAAGCATCTGATCTGGGTAGTTGTAGAACTGTTAATGAGCCTTGCGATTGGTCAGTTCTTGATCTCTGGATTCAATCAAATGAGCTTGACCCAAGATTTTGATTCTGTCGTGAATAATATCCAAAAGTGTAGAGAAGATTGTTGAGGACGTAATCCAAAGATGGCTATATCCTTTTGTCTTTTGGGGTGATTTTGATGCTATCTCCATTGCGATAACTATTATTTTTTCCCAAACTTCTATGTTTTTCGGCGGTATCTCCAAAGGTAATTATGGTTTTGCTGTTGTTAGAAAATTGTGGTCGGATGAAATAAGACCTGCCCGCTATTTAACTATTTGCACAATGTCCTTCAACAAATATAGTAGTACAGGACCAATTGATTATTATTTTCGTTTTAAAATAAAATGGCCAATATCAGAATGTGTCACTGTTTGTGTTTTAGAAATCTAAGACAGCTTCAAGACACACGATACGCCGTCAGTCTATCGACACTGGAAAAAAAGGGGGAGCAACTCCTACAGGTCTATGATATAGTACAGAAAAAGGTGGTCCGCCAAACGCTTGTGGTAAGCAGTAGGGGCGCTATGTTCGTCTGTTGCACAGTCTCACTAGCATGCTAGCGTATGTGGAGTAAATAAAATAAAGGGGACACATACTAAAAGGATCAACAAAGAAAGTCAATATTGAAATATTACATCGTAAACAAACGAACTCCACGGCGTGGTGTCTCCATTCTTATTTCTTCCATAGACCTAATCATAATTCCTGTTTCGGACAACTTATCCGGAATAAGGTAAAAACTAATAAAAACAAAACGGAAAAGGATATAAAATCCTGAATGGAGTTATTTACTCATAGACCGTAAATTATATAAAAAGATATCTGACAGACTGTTCATATAGATAACACAACAAGTCTCCGAACGAAAACAACGAGTGCATCATGAATCAAAGATGAAAATGAAAATATGTTAATAAATAAATAAACTAAGGAAGTGTCTCAGTAAGAAAAAACAACGCGTTTTCTGCACGTAGATGGCCCCGATGACGATGTCTCCCGTCAGGACCAGAATGTTTATTCGGCAACAGACACTGTACATCACAATGGACCGCGTGAGAAATATGAATATAAGCATTTAATGACAGGTTTCTGATCCGGAACACCTATTTCCAAATGAGGACAGTTCCATTGTGATGACAGACATATCAATTTTCATAAAGTAAAACATCTTTAATTGAGTGAGTCATTATTTTTTTTCAATTTTTATTAAAGGATCCCCATGACGCTATCAAAAACTGTAGCATGCATTCTAGAAACTCTTTTTCCCAGCATGACTATATAGCTTTGATATTTCATTTCTTAATAATAACAAAAAATAAAACAAAAACTCTATATACATGTCCTAAAAGCCTCAAGTGTTTTGCCTGCAGTGTGGCAATCATCCTTAATGTATTTTTGAAACTGTTCAGGATAGTGATCCACCTGTCACGTGATGTCTTCAATGTCAGATGTATTTTATTCACCATGGTGATAATTGTATTGATGCTTATTTAAGGGTAAACAAGACAAGATGATAGAATGTTGCTGCGACCACCACGTAGTCATGGAAACCAAAGACAAGAACATAAAGAAACTGAAGATAGTTGACCTTGACACGATGAACGTCACCTTGGTATTCCAAGGTCGTCTGAACAACCGTATCTCGAGTGTTCACGTTCTCCATGACAGAAACGGTGTGTAAATATTTGTTTCTCCTCAAAACAATGCATGTATAGAATAAATGGTGTTTTTCTTAAATATCAACTTATGTGTTTATGTTATTTGAAGAAGAAATGTTATCAACTTCGAATGAAACTAAATAGATTAAAATGTATCCGGCAAGGAAGTTGAATGCTTACTGAAAAAATCCTGTTGTAGCGGTTTTCCTATTTTCGCACTATTTTACGCACGAAGCAGAGGAGTTTTTCATTAATTTTAATCATGTAAATAATATTTGGTGTTCTTAAATAATTGGTATGTGCTAAAATATGAATGAGTTGATTAAATATTCTTATAATTTTTGTCATAATTTCTGTTCTTAGAGGTACTGGCGCTATCTCAAGGCAGACGGTCACTGAAGACATACGACTTGAACAGCGGGAAAACAAAACAGATTCTCAAGCCTCCGGAGGATATTGACTGGGCCCAGTTCACACAAATGGTTTGTTTGGCCGATTATAAAATTAGAAAGTGTTGTTATGAAGCGACGTTTCTAAATGGTCGACGTGAGATAATTGAACTAGCTTCTTTAAAAATGTCACGTCTAATGTTTAACTTACAAAGACAAATACTTAATACCGAGTAAAACCTCCTGGGTCTTCATGGATTGTGTGAATTGTTTATTGTAATAATGTTTTTCTTTTTCTTTTCATCTTCCCCCTTTTTAACTTGAACAAAAACAATGACGATTCGCGAATATTTTTTTTTTTTTTTAATACTCAAACCTGAAGTTTATATTTCTAAACTGTATATAAGGCTAGCTACCAAAAATGTGAGAAATATTCAAAATTTAAGAATTGATAAACAATTTTTAAGTATGCGAAAAGACAGCTCAAAGTACATCCCTAAAGAACATTATATGTTAAAATTGATGTCACAATAATTTGTTAATCTCTCATGAATGGAAATTAAATAAATGATATCTGATAACTCATAAAATAGCACGTGTCACATTTTTATTTGTGACATGATTGAAAGATAACGATTTTTTCTCTTCATCAACACGCATTATGTTAGAACTGACATCTTCTTGATAAACAGTAGTATTCAACCATTTAGGAAATTCAATGCATAACGAAAGAATGCCTTCCCAAATAGAAGTCAACAAGAGGGAGTGACTGACAGAAATATACGTCTTTTTCTCCTATTCCGTCTTTGCGTATTGCAGAGTTATCTTCTCTTGGGAGCAGGTATTGATTGTTACGTCACTTGTTTGTGAGAGTAACGTCATCAATTTTTGAGAAAACGACGTAATTTTCTCACACAAACCAATGACGTAACAATCAATACCTGCTCCCAAGAGAAGATAACTCTGCAATACGCAAAGACGGAATAAACTAAATTTCGGAATAAAAAAAAATGACTAACATCTATTTTTGACCAGATATGCTACACTGACAACAAGGTAGTAGCAAGTATGACGTCAACTGGAATCGTCGTATTTGACCTCATGACGTCATCAATGAAGTGCATCAACGCCTCTGAGTTAGACATTTCCGACGAGGATGCCATTGCCGGAAGTTGGACGCGGATCAGTAAAGACGCCAAATTTATCGCCATCCGATGCGAACGGAAGTTGCCGACCATTTCCAAAGATGTCTCCGTGGAAATGACAGCATACCTCATCCACATCTGGGATATTCAGAATTGTATGCTACTATTTTTCTCCACGACAAAACAAAATCAATGAGATCGGCTTTATTTTCGCTGAAATTAACAAAGGAACGAGTAACAATGAAAGTAGCCCAATTTGTATTTTTTTTTACTTTATCGAGCATCCATTGGCTTTTAAGATCAATCAATTATGTATTCATTTAATCCTTAATCAATCAATCAATCAATCAATCAATCAATCAATCAATTAAACAGCCATGAACTTTGTAATCAATCAACCAACTTAGCAAATAGTAATGAATAATTATACATATAAAATTGTACTATATAAATACTATCATTTTACGAATTAATCAATGAATCCAATTAATCGATCAATCAATACAATTTCGTGAAGTTGAGCATTATACATACTAAACTGAGGCACAAATGTGGTTCCCTTAAGTAGTATCTTTATAGAGTAAAACTTGTCGAAAGTCCAGTTTAAAAATGTGGACATCTATACGAGAACGCCTTTTAGTTTTTGTTTGAGTGTCAACGTTTTGGTAATGAAAGGCGTATTTTGTTTCAAAATTTGAAAGCCTTAGATATAGAGTTAAATTAAGAGCATTTTTTTTAGATTCAAATTGTGTTTTATTCCCCCATCATCTTTGGGAGGGATGTCCGGGTTGGGGTGCCCCGGGATCATCCCTCTTACATAATATAGCCTCATGCAAAAGGCCTCTTTCTCTTCATTCTTTTTCTTTTTCATTTCATCTTTCAAACTCAGATTCATTCTTTCATACTCAAACTCAAAATCATTCATTCTTTCATACGTATGTTTCATTCATTACAATAACGATAATATTTATTTTGATTAAATTGATATATTAAATAACATCAACCATTCCTTCTTTATATATTCAAATACTGAAAGTACTTTTATATTTATAAATTCATTTACATGCCAAAAAGTCTGCTTTATTGATTTGATCTAGAGCTTTGTTTTGCTTGACAGTTCAGATCAGATCTTTCGGTGGACCTTATATTTACGTTTTTAGACATGTCTATCATTTTATCAAATCCAGCATTAGATGTCGAACGGTGTTTTTTTTGTGTATTGGTATTTATGTGAATATTTTATATGTCTGCACTACATTTATGCCTCTTACCATTGTTGTCATGTAATTGTAAATGTTTGACGGGAGAAGGCTTTGAAAAGTTGCAATAACATGTGCCTTAAACCCAGTTCTATTTTTATTTGCATAAAATATGTTTAAAGTAAGTAAATAATCTGATTTATCCAACATCTATCTATTTCCATTCTGACACAGGGAAGTACAATGGGTTTATTTTTGAGGATCCGATGTATTACGAGATTATATCTCGTCTGGACGAGAAGACGGAGTTCTTTTCTGACTTCCTGTTTCTGGACGATTTCAGGATTGCCACCATCTTCGACCAACACAAAGGGGAAATACTCATTTGGGATTCGAATAAAAGTATGTGATTTATTTGGTGTTCTTTTTCATACTGCTTTGTTTATATATATTTGAATACTGTATGATATCCAGAAATATTTTACTGATATTTTTGTCACATAAATGTCAAGGATACACTCCATATTACCTCGAACAAACAATGATTATTTTCTTGTCTTTTGATTGAATAGAATAAAATTAGTGTCTTAAATCAGATTTAGTTTCATGGAAAATACGGAAATCAGTTTTGTATCCGTAAATTTCTATATTCGATGAACGATGATCCACTGACGTATAGAGCGAATGACATATATAATTAATGTACTTACTTCACTTAATGTGACGTCATTTCCTGTCCGCTGTAGATGAGTGTCTGGAGCGATTGTCCAGCAGTATCACTCCGGACGCTGACCTGTACACTATCGACGTCAGTCCATACCTACTGGTCTACAATCTGGCTAACCTCGAGGTTTGGGACAAGTCCAGTATGAAGCGACTTGCCAGTATGACGACAGACTATGACGTACGTTTGGTTAATCGATCAGTTTTATTTAGCACACTCTTCATAGGATTCCGCTTAATGTCAATTTGCTTAATAGCTACATTTTGACCTTTTTATAATGTATGAACTATAGTTTGCTTATTATAATGCGATGTATCATGATTTTTTTCATATATCATGTTATTTTTCCAAACATACCAGAAGAAAATGAGTTGCCAGAGGTAAGTCAATAATAGAATCAATCACTCCTGTGTGATATAGACAGAGATATCTCAACCAGAGGGTGAGATATTTTTTTAGGTTTAGCACGAGGCTTTGCCGAGTGCTAAACCTAAAATAAATATCTCATCCCGAAGGTTGAGATATCTCTGTCTATATCACACAGGAGTGATTGATTATTTTTCTCCCACATTTTCATACCGTAAAAATACCTCCACTGCGAAGTTGTATTTTTGACCCCGATGCACCGTACTATCATCAATGGCGCATGAATACACGCATAGCCGCTGTACTGCAAATGTGTGTAAAAAAAATCCGCAACGTCAATAATAAACAGAAGTCATAATTAAATTTAGATATTTTATACATTAGTAGTATTAGCAACGTTATATTGTATATTAACATTTTTTGTCATAAGATTAAGTGATATAGTGTCTTTAACGAAAACACACAGAACTAATTGCACTCCCTGACTTCACGCTTCGAAAAGTTCACTCGGAGTCAGAATACAACACCCTCGGTCGTTTCGTTTTGGGGGCTGACATCGTTGTGTTATTGTTTATAGTTATGTTAAAGGTTCCTCCAGTGATTGTTGTGCCTTGGAAGATACTTGGGATTTCACATTCATTGGATTTTAATTTACGAACGCGTTCAGGTTCGCACAAGGACATGCTGTTGTGCGCTGTAGTCACATGTGTAATATTTGTTGACTGTTCGTTTGACATTGGCCGATGTGAGGTAGGTGCACTAGACCCAGTGTGTCGTCCTAAGTCCGTTTGTACGGTTTTATTTGGTGGATTTGTCATTGAGAGAAGAGACGACATCTTCTGTTTTTGTTTATTGTTGACTGTTCTGTAATTGTTCAAAGATTGAATGTTTTTGTGACCGGTTAATGTGATTGCCTGTGCATCTGGAATGTTTTCGTCCAAAAGTTTTTGACACGTGTATTTGCGAACACTGGTATTTGTCAATCTTTTTTGCACAACATTGTTTTCGGACCTGTTAGTAAACATTCCACTTTTTGTCACCATAGTTTTCATTAATTTAAACAGTTTGTTGCGCCCAACAGGAGCTCTCAAAAACCACTGGTCGCGTTGGTGGGGAGTTTTGCTGTGCGTCACCGTACCGAGGTAAAATGGGTGTTCGTCATCACAAAAATTGACAGGTCGCTTTTCCTTGTAAGCTTTGTACGTTTCTACTGGACATTTGTCACTACCGGGTTCCGCGTACATTGCTGGCTTTGTACTCCTTGTGTTTGTAACGTCTATACCTGTCCGTGTTTTTGTCTGTCTTTCGTTAAATTGTAAAAATTCTCTTTCAAGTTCCTGGTCATATCCAAGTTTTAGGTCACCCCAGCATAACTGTCTGTGCTCATCTCCTCCCCTCATCCCGAAATGAAGCATGTTGTTAAACCATACGGTGTTCAGCAGAGATTCAGGTGTGTCTTTACCTAGCTGTTTTGTCTCATACAAAGTGTTTATTTCAGAATCGGTGATAACATCCGCTGCCATTGGTTTATTCCCCATTCCTTTCTTTTTTAAATCTTTTTGTTTGGTTTTGAGCGCCTCTCTCGTACCTGCGAACTGATGACTGGAAATCAAACTATACCCATATCTATGACGTTTTAAATACCTTTCAAACGAGCCAAGCATCCCTCTTAAGTAACTGGGTTGATACTCGCTACCATCTTTCTGTCGTACACAAATTAAAAATTTTGAAAGGTGCGAATCGAGTTCGGTAGTTGGGATTTGGTGCATTTGGCGCAATTCGTTTACGTCGTTCAGAAAATGTTCAAACAGTTTCATATGACAAAGAGTTTTCTTTTTCGTGTTAATATTCTCGTTTTGGTCCACAAAGTTTCTTAAGTCATTTTCGTCCATGTTAACAAATCTACCGGCAACGCGTGGGGCTGTGGCAGTCGCCGTCTGCTGAGGAGAGCCCGGGGGCGCCGGGGTTGTATGTGATCGTCGGGGGGTCAACATTGATTCAGATTGTCCCTGCTCTAACTCATGTAGCATTGCCTGTGTTTCTGCATGGGATATTTCACTCAGATATTTGCTCACATCAAAATCAAGCATATCAAACTCAAGTTCGTCGTCTGCTAGCCCTTTTACCAATTCATGCTTCGACGCTGTAACGATAGTACCGTTACCAAATAATTGCACTTTGTGCATAACATACGTTCCTAATGGTTTAACTCCATCTACAATTCTTCCCTTTTCACCATTTCTTCCTACGGTAACACATTCGCCTATTTTGAATTGTCGGGATGTTGAGCTTGCCATTATACAGTGTTTGTTTACATGTGTATTACATGTGTGTAAAAGGTGATGATGTAATCGTTTTTGCTGAAAGTGCACAGGGTCACAGGTCATGGTGAAAGAAGTGCGTTGTCTGTGACGTAATAGCGCATGTCAGCTGTCTTGATCGAGGTAGATCAAGACAGGTTTATCTTTTCCCTACCAAAAACGGGAATGAACCTGTGAAGGGTGGGAGAATAGAATAATCTCACACATTGGCCCGGGGATGGGTGATGGCAGACGAAAGAGCTGTTGAAGTAACGTTTTCTTTGAGCTAGGCTTGTAATGGCTATGGGTGTTTATGTAGTATTTAAGATCTGAACATTGCTTTTAAGAACCAAACTTGCTTTATTTATGTCACATTTATGTAGAATGTAAATTAAAATGAAAATATTGAAGTTTTGTTTTATCAAACGAAAACAATGCAAGCTAGACTACAAAAATGTACATCACACGCAACGAAGCCTGTCACCAGGCAACGTCATAAGGAAATGCTTGACATTATCAAAATATGCGTCAACTGTACTTTAGTATGCATTTATATGTAAGCTCACCTTTCCGAAACCTATTTTATCCAGGAGAAATACTTTTGTTCAATTGACAGATTTAAAAAAAAAATATGTAAAAATAATAACAAAGAGAATTTTTTTTTCAATTAAATCTTACCTTGATTGTTTCCAGTTTGAATTTAATTTTAAGACGTTTGATTCATAGGTCCACTTCTCCGAGCTGACTAAAGATGGCTTAAGTGTTCTCGGCTGCAAAGAGGTGCCCGTCGAAATTATACACTGGACGCTGCAGAAGGGAGGCAACCCAGTTTATGACATGAGCAAAAAGCCGATCCTCTTTGAGGGAGTTCGTAAGTTGAACGATGCAGCATGTTTCCTTTAACTGCGTAACTTGCAGTGGTAACTTACGTCAAAAATTCGTGTCTAAGAAAATTAGCAGATTAAGGATCCCTGTCCCGCTGCAAGTAAAACACTAGAGAGTTCCACTTTAGTTTTTCATATAAACAGTAACCTCCCCTTAATTTCGTTTCGGATATACCTGTATAGCGACTGGGCCAGGTCACTGCTCCTATGTACACCATGTTTATTGGTGATATTAGCAATGGCTATGGAGACTTAAGAAGTTAAAATGTTAAAGGTCAAGGTCACATATTTATAGAGTTTCGTAGTAAGTAAATGTGATTTATAATTAAAAGTAAGAAATGAGTTAATAATTAAAATTTGGAGCAACTTACGTTCCCGTTTAGCTAATACAGATATATAGAGAAACATAAAACACATATACACACTTTAAAGATCTTCTTTCTTTTTCCTATATATAGTTATCTCCCCTTAACTTCCGCTTGGATATAACTGTAGAACAGTTGGGTCAGGACACTTCCGATGACCAGGTAGCTTATTCGATTACAGCAATGGTTTAGCAATCCGTAGTTCGGGGTTCGAGTCCCGGTCTAGCCCCACTCATGTTGCACACTCAAACCACTGTTGTTGATTATATTTTGCTTATTTCGTCTTTTTTATTTCTCATTAAAGTCCCACAAGGTGTAGTTTTCTTTTCAGAAATTATTTATTAAAGCTGTAGTCAAGCCGTCAAATCAATTTCCAATACATAGTTACAGTTTTTGGCAGTGGTACGGGGATCCTTAACATAAATTGTAACTCTTAAGGATCTTTAAGCCGCGTCCCTGTGACGTTGTGTGTCGACTGGGTACCTCTTAACTGGTGTGTGTCATGATCAATACCTGTTTCATTTGTGGATATCTGTAAAATAAATATCAATGCATATTTTCGCAGGTAACGATTTGACCTTGAACCTCTCAGTTGACGACGAGAGTGACTCGGACTTCAGTGACCCGGATATCGATATCGACGATTCGAGCGACGATGATAAAGATTCCGACGTCGATGACAAAGAAAAACTAGCAAAAATAGACGAGTTGGAGGATTTGTTCAACAAGTCGTCCAAACCTTCTCTGACGGACGATGATAAGTGGCAAGCGATGAGAACACAGTCGGATGAAAACGTCAATGATAAAAGCGATTTACATCTTACCGACGATGACAGAAAAAACCAATCGAACACTGGCCAAAATTCTGACGCTTCTAAAAATGTTGAAAGTCCTCTGATTAAAAACGTGGACAAAGTTTTAAAAGAAACCTCGGTAACTGTCACACCAAAAGATGATTATCGTTCAATCGATGATAACGCCGATAAATCGACGATGAAGCATGTAAAAGATGAAAAAGATAAGTCCAGATCGGGTTCCACGTCGCCCCTCCCTTCACTGGAGACCTATGAATATGGGAACGATTCTGACGCGTCAGTTTTCTGAGGAAAATCCTTCCAATTGTCAACTTACAGATATGTCTGGGAAATAGAGGATCGTACGTGAGGGTCCATGTCATATCGAATTTATTGAAGTTTAGTAAATTCAATATAACATGGACACGAATGTAAAATTATATTGATCACATTATGTTCATTATTTGAAGAAACTTGGAAAGACAATTATGCGTTACATTGTATCAGCTGACTCTATATATAGGTCAAAACCAAAGTACTCCGATCATAGTATGGTCATTCCGCGCAGTGCTAAGTAGTTCCAGATTATGGTTTTTAATAATGAACAGTTTCAAACGCTATGAAAATAATATAGACAAAGTAAACATTTCAAATTCATTTAATAGCAAACAAACGAAAGTAATAAAAAGTAGTACCTGTAGTTGCGTATGAATATGTTCCAACTGACCTTTGACCAATCGTAGCACGTTTGGGTTTCATAACATGTGTGTATTACCATTTTTATGACGTAGCCATATGGCATAGTAAAATGGGTCAGTTATATGATAATTCAGCTAATGATGTGCCAAACACTGCGTATTTGGTTTATGTTCTAAATAATGTGATTTGTGATGTGAAACTTGTGATAAATATTTTTAAAAAATCCAGATATTTTTCGTCAAGTTGCTCTATAATCTATAAATACTCTATAAACTTTATTAATTTTTCAACAATTATGACACAAGTTATTTCAACTTAGATTAATAACTCTTGTTGGCCCGGATTTTAGCGCGCGGAGGGTTTTAATGTGCGCTTTACGGTACATAGATATACTATTAATACAATAAGCATATACATTAATCAATACAATTTTGAGGAATTCGCAGGAGGTGCCTTATCAGGCGTAACTACTAGTCATATGCCACCTGGCTAATATCTCCCTATGTGTGTATGCCTGCGTGTGTATTGGAGGTGTATTGTGTTCTGTTTGTAATGGGGCTGTGCTTCCAACAGTATCATTTATAGTGCCACCTCACATGAATGCTACGCACATGCAGATACCGCACATCCACCCCAGACCATTTTATTCTCCACCTGGGTCGTTGAAATTACTCAGTACCTACTCATTATTGTGATGTGTTCTTTTCATCACTGTATTTGTTTAAAAAGTAATTTACAATAACGTCTTTCGAATATTTTCTACAATGTTTACCCTCTTTCTTGAGGATCCAAACATCTGGATTCGTACTCATGAAACCGTCTTCATGCTAAAACTCAGATTCTGTAATCAAACCAAATTTCATGTTTTGGTGACGAATTCGTAGAACTTCACATTTAGGCTATGTTTTTGGAGAATGTTGGAGAGATTTCAAACTGGATGCCGTGTCAAATGTTCACACATAAGTCGGTTATCGTTTTGCCTTTTTACATTATCTTCCAATTCATTGATAAAATGGGCTTATTTATAAATTTTATCACCGAAACAATAAATTGGACTTGGAACACTGAATCTGAGTTAGAGCATTGAGAACGGTTTCATGAAGACAGACCCTGAAATCCACGAAAAATGTATCTCGCGAAAATGACCAAAAACTAGATAGCGAGAAAAAATATTACATTTCTACTGACTAGCATATACTTGTTTTTAGCCCCGTAAAACGGACATCAGGAGACCCAGATACAGACGTCATTTGTCGTTGTTTTTTAAACTCTTGATAAATTTTATGTACCGTTTCCATACATAAGTCATATTATATCTTAATGCAATTCATTGCGAAGGTGTGTGTACGTACACGGGGGCGTGTGTACAAAACGAGGTATGGGATAAAAATACCTTGATTCGCTTAAATAAGACACTTTATAATTAAGTTATTTCAAACAACAACTGAGAATTCTAAAAAAAAACCACTCGTATCAATGCATGTTCTTGCGTTAGTGTGTAATGTTGTGTGTGTGTGTGTGTGTGTGTGTGTGTTAGTCGCCTCTTACATCATGCCGGGGGATACAGCAGACCTGCTAGTATTCCATCCTCAAGTCTACATGCAATTGGGAGCCATATAAAGTACGTCCTTAATTCTAAATTTTCCCTTCAAATACGTTGTCGGAAGTTAATCACATCGCATGAATATTTTTTCTTTCTTCATACGTTACACCTACATCGATATCTCATAAACCTGGAATAAGTTACTTACTGATTTGTCAGCTTGAAATTAATTAACGGAAATAATCAAATTTAATAATTTTCTATAATTGTTGAATTTAAAATTACAATTTTCTTTTTGCTTTTAAAACAACATGTTCAAACACCAAAAGGCTAAAAGGTTTTAGTGATTCGGTGCGAGTTGATTTTAATAATCCTGATAAATCACTTCCTGCATTTGTGCGTCAAGCTGACTATACTTTTAGTGGACGGACTCGAAATGACAAATCTCAGATGATATATGTAAATGATAATGACTTATTATTATAGACCAAAATTTCCATTAAATTTCCATCAATTCTGCTACATTTAGTAGTATCTATACAAATCTCCCACTTGGGCCCACTCGACCGGGGAAAGTGCCGGCGGTGCTTTCACTGTAATTTCATTAAATACTATAGAAACGTGAAGCCTGCAGGTAATGCCGAAGTTTCGTTTTAATGGAGCGCTTTTCTGCGACGCGTGTGGATTTATCGATCAATAATGCAATATAATTTGTTGATAATGTGTCCCCGATCTGTAAAATCGATTATACAATTGCGAATTAGGATAAATAAACGGGTTATTTACTGGAACACCTTTGTCGCACGAGTTTAAATGAAACCCAATATTTACGGAATCCCCGGGCAGGATAGAGCTTTAGACCGGAACGATACACATGGTTTCCAGACCGAAACACTAAACTATATCTGGTCTAGCGTTAGATCTGTTGTCAGAAAGGAATAAAAACGGGTTCCGAACACACAAGCTAGACCGGGAAACTAAGCGACTTCTGGGTTATAGTGTCATATTGGATTGCCTGAATAACAGTTTCCAGAAAAACTTGTCAGAAAGGAAGCTTTATCACTGACCGGAGTAAATTATTCGGTAAAAGAGAAGGCGTGCTGATTCCCGCTGCATGTTAGCATAAGGAGCGACTAATGTGGGACCCCCTTTAGGTTTTGAGTGTTCCCCCCTCAATATACTGCCGCGAATTTCAAAATACGGTAAGGTTATCCCCATTCTAATTCATATAAGCCAAAACAAAACCACCAAAATAAACGGCGATTTTAAGACATTTTTGAGTGTTTTCTTCAAATTCTGGGTTATTTTGCCGTGGATTGGTGACGTCTGGAATATTTAAAGTGAGTCGGAATTATCTGACATTTCGGGGTCAAGCTATTGTTCGTGACGTCATGTTTAATCAATTTCATGACGTGTCAGTGTCATTCGGGGTCATTGACGTCATTAACAACCGCCATCCGGGCTTCATATGCAAATGAGAAATTTGCGGACAGTATTCCGTCTTTGCGTATTGCAGAGTTATCTTCTCTTGAGAGCAGGTATTGATGTTACATCACTTGTTTGTANATTGTTACGTCATTGGTTTGTGTGAGAAAAAATTACGTCGTTTTCTTAAAAATGGATGACGTTACTCTTTTTTCTCACACAAACCAATGACGTAACAATCAATACCTGCTTTCAAGAGAAGATAACTCTGCAATACGCAAAGACGGAATATCGTGGTTATACACTCGCAAATTATTTTGATTGTTTCGTTGGTGCCTTCGATACTGCGAAGACATTAAAACTCTTACAAGTTTAACGAATCAAATTATTAAACAATTGAATTCGACGAGAAGATGAATAAAACTAGTCAAATTGAGCTGAAAACATTACATTGTCTGTATGTATGTAATAATAAAAACAAAATTTTGTGGGGCCAAGATACGGAAAACTTGCCTCCCGGATAGTAGATCAAGATTTCATTTTTCTCAATAACAATATAAAAATATCTCTCAGTGAAACCTGACCTTACCGTCACATTTTTATACGTTTATTTCAGAAAAAATGTCGTTAAAATCAGGTTCCCGACGCACTCTCTTATCCGACCGAAAATGCTATCCCCCTTGTAAGAAGATACGAATTATCTTGGCAAATGAAACCTTGCTTAACCGACAAAAGAGGAACTGACGGAGTATTTTGGTCAGATAAGGCAGTATTGCTTGGTCGGATAAGGCAGTGTTGCTTGGTCGGATAAGGCAGTTTATCAGTAATAATCCTGTCTATAAAATGAAGGTTATTGTTTTTGTTTTTGCTCTTGTGTTTTGGAGGGCGGGGCCTAAAACTTTGTCAGATTTGACAGAATGTCCTTAAAGTCAGGTGTCGGTAAAGACAGGATTTCAATTCGTTGCCAAACCCCTTTATAACGCCGAAATTCCGCCTTTCAGATATTGACATTATGACGAAGATTTATTATCAATTATTACTGAAAAAAAGAGAAATAATTAAAACGAAATGGTATTTTTTTCGCAATAAACATCGAATTTATGATAAGCTAACTAGGACCATAGTTTAGAAACCGTTAATATAGCGATAAATCATGGACATTCCATTGATCTGAAAGTCGGATCGCTAAAGAGACGTCCGATTAACAATGGATAATAACTCACCTGTTATTAAGCGTGCAGCCTGGACCATTCACATCGTATTGATGGGGAATATAAATGAACATGTTACCATTCTTCACATATAGCGAAAACGCGGCACATTTTCTCGCGACTTTTACGTAGCGCTATTTCTGAAGTAGCAGAAGATCTAAAGCAAATCTACAAAGCTTCAGAAAACACAGCTGACCAGTTAATTGCATTTAGCGCTTAAATTTGAATGCTTTTGTAATTCATTACAATGTGACATGAATAAAATGAATTTTCTATAATCAGAAAAGCTTTAAGGCAAGGCCTTCAAGTGGGTTTCACTTCAACTCACGGTATGCTATTCCCTGTCATATATCGAGGTTATGTAATCAGAATACTTTCTAAACAAACATTTCAAATATATCCAAGTTTATATTTTGTTTTATGCAAATTGAACTGGGTTTGATTTGGTTTGGTTGGTTTGTTATTTTTTTTTTTTTTTTTTTTTTTAACACTTCATTTTTTTTTTTTTTTTTTTATAACCCTTCAATTTTTTTTTTATTTTTTTTAATTTGATTTTTATTTTCTTTTAAATGTGCAATATACATCTTCATCAAATTAGCAATTATCATAATCATCATTCATCACGCATCATCCATCATAAACAATAGCCTCATTACCAACACATCTCACAGACATGCACCATCCTCATCATCATCATCATTATCATCATCATCATCAACATCTCATCATCATCATCATCTCATCATCATCATTATCATCCTCCTCCTCCTCATCATCATCTCATCATCATCATCTCATCATCACCATCCATATACCATCATCATCATCATCTCATCATCATCATTATCATCCTCATCATCATCATCTTATCATCATCATCTCATCATCTCATCATCATCATCTCATCATCATCATCATCATCATCATCATCATCATCTTATCATCATCATCTCATCATCATCGTTATCATCATCATCATCATCATCATCTTATCATCATCATCTTATCATCATCATCTCATCATCATCTCATCATCATCATC